TACAAGGACTTTCCGAATAAAACATTCATACACATACACGGTCTGTTGAATGTCACCTGGACAAGGTAAGATATAAATAAATAAAAATATTACTCTCGTGGCTGGAGGCAAAAGCAGCAGTTCAAGTGCCCTCTACCGTACCGCTCTGTTTCACACATCCTGCATGGTTGTATTTCCTATTAAACTTGAAGTTCGGGCGGGACATACCAGGGATATTGTACTTCGATTTGAGCAGCGCTTAATTTACGTCACAGCATGATTTGCTACTTACTATACTAGTCAGAGTCATGTGACATCAGGGGGAGGGACATTCTCCTTTTATAGATCATTTGATTGGACAACAGTTTTGATACTATCAGAGAAATCTGCACAAATTGTATATTTAGGGCAGCTTGTCACTGGGGGAGTACCCTTAAAAAGACAACTTTGTACCTTATCTACCTTTAAAAGGTGCATAGGACCTTATTGTAGTACTGCAAAACCTTAAGGTACTACTATGAAACTTTTAGCTGTAAATAAGGTACAAAGATACTCTCACTCCCTACAGGTACAACCTTTGCATATTGTTCTGAGAACTGATATGTTGAAGATAACAGCTCAGTTTGGTTCATCAAATCTGCTAAATGTGTATTTTGTCTACGTTTAGAAGTGCATAGAAGGTCTCAAAGCTAATAAACAAGGACTAAAGCCACAGAACTCCCCACAAGGTGGGTAAAACAGGCCTTTCTTTGGGAGGAAAAAGACAGGCCGGGGAATTAACACTTAACACGGGCTTAATTACGTCACGCACGCGCCTGTGAAAACCTGCCATTCAAGAGCATTGGTAAATAAACCTCTCTTTACAGATGATCCAAATGTGTCTCGCTCCAGACAGCCCTCTGTTCCAGCGCTGATATGCAATTAAAATCATCTCCAAAATTCTCCTCGACAGGACGGGCCCAAGCCAAAAATGTAAATGACATTAAGGGAGACAATGAATTGAATTTTGTTTAATGTCCCTTTTGCTGGTGCTAATTTACATAGCGCTTTTCCAACAAAAGCTCTGACCTTCTAAATGCTGGCATTTGATCAGCTCTGAGAGCGGGACTGTGCGCGGATGAGAGGAAGGGGGTCTTTTTAAGTAGCCTGGTCGGAGAAGATACAAACAAAAGGGCAAATAAACTGAGGAACGATCTGTGTTGGTTTTTAAAGATTAAAAAAAACCCGCAACAGGCAGAGTACGAACACAAATTTTCCCCCGGCATATGGCTCCAGGAAGACCTAGCTAATAACCAAGCGTAATCCCTTCTGGAAAGGTCCTCCGGTACGAAAAATTAATGAATGTTTAGCTAAATCAGCATCGGGACCCAAATACCACGTGGTCCGAACAGGTGCAGAAGCCTCAGCGAAATGAGCTACATAAACCGTCCTGCTTCACAACTGTGTACTCTGACAAAAAAAAAAGTCAATGTCATGAATTATTCAGTTGAGGGAGGGGGTTGGCTGTCAGAGGTCAGCATGTCTTGACCTTTCTGACAGAAAGTGAAAGGGAGATCGGTTGGCTAGGAAAACCCTGATCGTTCTTGAGTCAGAGGGGTATTATTAGTTTTTGGACCGATACGGGGGCGGTAAATGATCCAACGCCTCGCGCTTGACATGTGCGTTCAAGACATCACCTACAAGAGTTCGAGTCTAGCCGTAGAACTCCTCATTTCAGAGGCTCAATCTATCTTTCAAAAAATACCAATGAATAATCTATGGCGAAGCCGGGACGGGTTGTGAAATATTTAAAGAACCATTGAGGTTGAAATTTTGTAACAGCTGTGAAATACAACCAAGTTTTTCTCGTTTTTTTTCTTCTTCTCCTCGTGAAGAACCTAAAGCTGCACCAAAGTCCAAGAGAAATAGTATAAACAGATGTCTGGCTTGACTACAGGAAAATAGGACACATTTGGAATGATAAGTCTCCTAAACTCCATTGAAAATGCCAGAATCAAGCGGGTGCCAGTTATTGTCCAAGCCCGTGCCAACGAGCAGTATGCCTGGCCCATGTGCCATCTGGGAGAATGTGGCTGAAAACGTTATTGATAATGGATCACCAGATCTTCTGGTCACCATAGCCCTGTTTAGCAGAACATTCTCTTCCTCTATCTGTCTGTCTATTTATCTATCCCCAGTCCAACCCAGTAAAATGTTTTGATTCTATTGCAGTCGACCCTCGCACGATCTACTTCCTGTGCACACAAATGCTTGTTTATAAATGGTGACTGAGCATGCATGTATCTTAGCTATGCATAAAACTCCCTGGTGTACTGTAATGTTCCACTTTTTCCTCAGAGACTAGGAAAAAAGACGGACCTAACAAGACATAACCCCACAGGATTAGTTTTGTGATTACAAATTAGCTTTATATCATACACCCCACCTGCACGAACGCTTCAGTCATTTGAGGTTCGTGTTTACGAGCGTTCCGGGCTCTCCCGGCCGCCTTGTTCTCTGAGCGTCGGATAAAATCATCTGTTCACAGTTGTGATATGCAGACAATGCAGTCGGCTAATGAAGCACATCTGCTTTAGTGATCCGACAGAACGGATCGCCCCTCTATGAAAACGATCCTCTCGAGTCTTTCAGACGCCTCACAATCAAAATGTGAGCTTTTTTATCCGTCGTTTCAACCTACCACAATATCCCTCATATTGCCGAGTATCCGACTTTCTTTGCGGTGTTCTCCTTTTCCTCTTTTACTAGTGTTACACATATTGTTCACCAGATTGAAGCACAAAGCGCCAAGACATCCGATCCATCCACCTCTATTTAGCCACAACACAAAGCCTAGCAATTTATGGGACGAGTCAATGCAGTAAATATCAGTGAAACCCTGTTATAAAGTGTTTGTGTTCTTTTAAAGGTAAATACATTGTATAAGCCATGGCCAGTGGGGAGAATCGACTCTGACTGCCTGAGACTCTTTTCAGGATCTGCTAAGAGGAAGTGATATGCGTTTTATCTTCTGTTCAGAAAACCAAAACAAATCCTCCTCCTCCTCGCTGGGACTCCTCTTTTCCTTTTTTTCTCTCGCCCCACTAGCTTTTCTTTCTCCTGCGGTTGAGTTACAGTGAGTGCATGAATGTTGGTCCTGTAACTAATTACTGTTCGCACACTGTCAGAGCTCTTCAGCACGTCTGTTTAAACAAGCTAATCATTTAATGCAAAGATAACCAAGGTTACTGGGATTGATTCACACTCTTTGAGAGTGTTTACAGAAGAAGATGTAGGAATTCATATTCCACTTAAAAAAGGTTAAATAGGGGCTCTGTTCCAAAAGCTAGTCAGCTGCCTACATTGGTAACATTTTACAGCATCATTATGCTGATGTGAATAAATATTTAGCATTGATGCTACCTCATAAGACACCACATTTTAGCCAGATTGTAAGGCAGCATTGCTTATTCACGGACAAGAAAGTCCCAGAATGCAATAAATACATTTAAAATTTGTGAAAAATCTAAAAAGTATCAATGAAAATTAACTATTTTATGCTTATTAAAGCATTGTGGAATTAGCTTAGCAACATGTTAATGTTAAACTCTTCTCAAATGTGATTCAAATGTCTGTTGCTGACTATGTACAGCATTTAGTGAATGCTGCTTAAAGCAGAAAACAAGACAGCTTACTAGGCTTCATAACAGAGCGATGGATTATGATTCAAATCAAATATTGATTATGAAATAAAAAACTTCTACTCTAAAACTGAATCAAACAGCCTCTCCTCACATGAACCAGTTCACTCACATTATTGTGTAGTAAGGCAGGGTTTCCACATTACGACCACATGACGTGAGAGCGGGAAACGCTCAGACCTCCAAACACGCAAGCACGGCCATAATTTCGACACGCAGGGCATGAGTCCTTTTTACCGACGCTTCACACACTTCATGCACGGTGAGTGACAGCGACAACTGGTCACTGCTATTTGATTACTAATAAGAGAGATGTTCCCTCTGTCAGATACCAAACATTCTAAGCAAACAGCTATTTCAGCAAGTCAAACATTAGCATTGCTATCCACTGGTGGCGCATATTTCGTTCCCCGGCTTTACCCATCATCTCGCCCTCCAATCTAATTTCCCACTCAGTGGACAGGCAAGTTTGTGATCGGGAGATAACTTTGCAACAGCTACGGCGAGAAAACAAGACTCTCACTGCTGGCACCGCTTGTTGGTTATTCATGGCTCTTTACAGCAGATGGAAACAGAGAGACTCCTGGCTTTATGGAGCAAGGTAGGCTTGTTCTAGCTCACTAATCTCCAAGAGGCCCGGACTCCAGCAGCCAGCGCTCCCTGTCACATTTACCGTTTCAGCCGCGAGTCCAAAACCTGCCCTGCCGTAATCCACGTACGTGCTGCCACCACAGGGATAATTGGACAAAAAGGAAGAAGTGTAAGTCTCGCCGAGTAAGTGTAACCTTGAGCCAGACTCACAAAGAGAAACATAAGCTGCAGAAAAAAAGAGAAAGAACGTCAATTACCCACTCGGCGGGAGCCGGTGTGTTTGAACACGCTTTCCCTAATGTGATCAACATGCAACCGCCAACAGCCAGCCCAGAAACATTACTCATTTCCCACCGGCAGCACTACAGAGCGCAACGTAAAGATGCCTTTTTGCCTCGAACATGCATGTTCGGAGATGCAACGTTACTGCTCAGCTGCGGCACGCAGTCGTGCCACAAAGCCAGCAAGAGGCAGTGCACTGTTTACAGAGAAGATAAGCAGAGCAGTTGTTAACAAATTACGATGAAAGGGTTGAGAATTTAAAGACAAACGCTCTCTCGATGCGGCGAACTGCTTGCAAGTCTCGAGGAAAGCACGTCCCTGACAACTCACCAGCAATTACGCGGCCCCTAAAGACACCCCGCGTCAACCCACCTGCGCGGCACGCCGCACAACAACACGGGGCAAACCCGGGCCAGGATGCTGGGCCGCAGCGCCCTACGCTCACAGGAAGCAGAAAGATAGTCTTACCTGTCGATGATCACAGGGTCTGAGGGCGTTTCGTTCCTGTTTCCGCAGCTTTTTTTGTCACAACACCGACTTGGGGAGAAGAACACAGGGAGAGAGAAAAGGAGACATGAGATGAGATATGAGAGAATCAGCAAACAGCTTGCATGTGTCTTTCGTCTCCGAGCACCGTGTGTTTCGATTTATTCATCTGACACGCTCTCTCGTCCTCTTTTCTAGCTAACCGCCGAGGTGTTTGGCGTAGGTTCTGGCTGAGCCGGATGGTGTTGGTGGCTGCGGTTCTCGCAGATGCGGGCGGCGGGTAAACACGGAGCCCGGCGCTGTGGCTGAAGGAGGGAAAACAGCATGTTTTTGGTGTTTGTCTTAGTGCTGAGAGGAGGAGAGGGGGTGCCAGGAGGCTGGGAGGGGGGAAAGCTCTCTCTCAGCCCCAGCTTTTGTTTACCTCTAATTGTCAAGCTGTTGTGTCTGGAGAGGATGCAAGATGCCACCTTCAACCAGGATTTCTGTGGGGCACTTATTAATTACCAGCTCAAAAAGCCTCCATCAGTCTCCTACAATGTGCCAATGCCTCCATTTTGAGGCCCTGAAGATGCTTCCATTATGCTTGCTTTAATTAATGTTGAAATTACAGAGAAAAAAAAAATGCCTCTTGAATTTAAAGAAGCCTACTTGTATAATGGTTACATGTCTAAGTGAGCCAAATTAACACCATATGGTATAGAAAACACGTAAAGCTCCTTAAAGCTGACAGCTAACGTGATTAAGGTATGTCTATGGACCTCTGCTTGGGACTCAGAAACGCATCCGTGCGGTTTTGACGCAAGCAACAAAGTGCGGAACTTTCTTGATCGTTAAACGAGGACCCGTAAGCTCTTAAAAGTTTGAAGCGTTTTTAGCTCGCGCGCAGAAGGATGTGGCGTGACCCCTGCGCACTGTTCTGATTCCTTTCCGATTTGGTGGAAAATTGAGTGCTTGCTTCCATAAGCGTCTGGTTCTCTTTCAGTGTAGTTGTTTTATTAATCGTAATTTTTCTCATTTTAAAATAACCACAGGATAAGGATATCTCTGTGGCGTGTGCGTAAAAATCAGAACAGACAGAGTGGCGCACGATTAAAATACTGAGGATGAAAAGCCACTTTCCAAAAAAAAAAAGGCCCGAGAGCGCACACACGCGTCTGCATTTGAGCCGACCGCTGTGTGTGTGTGAATTTCAATTCATCCTCTATAGTGTTAAAAGTCCAGTGAAACCATTCATAAGTCCGATGTCACAAAATGATCCGGTCAGATTTGCGCTTTTGAAGTAGAACTTCTGAAACTCGCAGAGCAGGGCGCAAAGCGAACCGTAAATCATTACGCATAAGCCGCCTGACAATTCTGAACATTTGGATTCTTTTCAGCGTATCCAGGCAGATCTATTCAGGGATTCATTGATTTTCTGTAAGGCTGATGCTCGGAGGCCTGGACGGGCCTACATCATGTGCGTTACGCATTTATGAAAACATGACAAGACATTATGGCTGATAAAATTCAATTACGCAGTCAAATGTAATAGTTTATAATTATCTGAAAATGAAAAAGATGTTTCTTTTTTCTTACCTGCACATAATTTCGTGTGTGAGAAGAACTCGGCACATTTCTGGGTTTTTATCTTGACCTTCATAAATAATAGCCTTGAAATAAAAGTCACAGTGAAGACGTTTTAAACAAGTGGACAACACATAAAATATAACATTTAAAATATTAAATATAAAACCGCATTTCTCCAGCAAAGAAAAAAAAATACTATGAAATTAAACATAAAATAATAAAATGTGGTTTTATGCCACAAAGTTAAATTTCATCAATTACAAATCGACAAGAAAAGGTGCGTAAATAAAATCCATTTAGCCCACATACATTGTTAAACAATGTTTTATCTGTAAACCAACACACATGCCCACATTCAAGATAGAGATAACCTTTGTGTTATTAATTTGCATAAATAAATATGATGTTTGAAATGAATATCAACACTTGGCCGGTCATTGCGATGACAAATTATACCACATGCATATCACTTTAGAAATGAAGAGTCGCATATGCTTCTGTTTAGATCTGTGCGCTATTTATTTGGGGAATGATAACAGAAATCACATAGATGTCACTTCTCCGACGCAGATGGCCGCGGTAAATAATACCCATAACCGTACACATCAACGCGGTTATAATCTGCAGATATTTAGGGGTAGAGTGCTAATGGGCAATCTGTTGTTTATTTTGAGCCGCTAACAATGATTTTTCTTTAGATAAAAAGCGGTGTCGGGGGGTACGCTTGAGTAATTTTTGAGCATTGGCTTTAACAGATGGCGTTTGGAGCTGTAGGTGCGCACGGGCCTTGGTGCTTTCTGCGCGTTCTGTCTCACTCTCTCTTTTTCTCTCTCCCTCCCTCCCTCCCTGTTTGCCCTGCTCCCGTTATGATGTACTGTGCAAGAGCGCACTCCAACGCGTCCTTCCGTGGGATCCGTGGGGCGCGTTGGAGTGCGCTCTTGCACAGTACACCATTGCAAAAAAACAATGAAACAAACAAAAAACATTCACTTTTATATAAATACACAGTAGGCCTATTGTTAGTACATATAAATGTATGAAAATCCAAGCACTGTTGTATACACATAAAACTGGAAAGGAAAACAAAAACGCATGCGTGCGTAAATAAACACACGGTGCAAAAATAAATTGCTTTAAATATATGAGAACTTATTATAACGTATAGTAGCAATTAGCTCCCTTTTGAATTTTAATTTGCCAGCTGCATGCTGAATGCAAGCGTTGGTTTGTATTTCTGATTACATTAATTCTAATAATCATTAATTCTATTAAGACATATCTAACAAACATAAAAATTAAAACCGTTACCCCAAATCTAGAAATTCCAAATAACAAAATAAGCACTAGATAGAATTTATCAGACATTGCTTTATGTGTCCTTATTTATTTTCCTGCCTCTCACTGAAAATATACGGAAAACCATAAAGTGTCTGTTCAGCGCCATTGACTCTTTGATCATGTTCAGCTCCATTCAGAGGCGCCTCAGATAAAACCTTCATATTTTCTCTCCTGTGAAGCCAAACGATGGATAAACTACAGATAACAAGAGCCTCAAAATCAAGCTAAAGATCCGCCCTGTTCTTGAGAGGCTGAAATGGACAATGGAAATGAGCTGAGAGTGATTTCAGAGAACATCAGAGTACAATATGAACTCAAGTGTCTGTCTCGCGCCTGGAGCTTTATTTTTATGCCTTTAACCAGATCTAATTACAGCACAACAAAAGTGAGTTTTCACGTGCGACAGCGCGATATAACGACACACTGAAATTTAGTAACTGAATGTCAATTAAGAAATATTGCACTGCCAGATAAAAAAGTGCATTTGAATTTTATTTTATTTTATATTAAATACAAAGCATCTATGATATAAAATTATTAAAATAATTTCCATGCATTATAAATTATCATTGTTGTGCTTCACAAGCACAAGCATATGAGCTATATATTGTCTCAGATTAAAACACGATTAAATAATAATAAATAAAAAAAACAGCCTAATGAGCGCAATACAGAAATATAGGATTTGACAAATATGCGAGAGCAAGACTATAATGTGGCTCATTAGAAACTAATCGGTATAAATAATAAAGAAATTTAATAACACTTTAGGTTATTTTCCCTTTATCCTCAGTTTATTATTATTATTATTGTTGTATTTTAAATGCGTAATTTAAAAGTATATATATATACGTATTTTTGTGCCCTCCACAATTTCATTAATTCGCAATAAATTATCAAGCAGCTACACGAGAAGCAGATAAAAAAATTGCATTTTAATTTTTTTTATTTTATATTAAATACAAAGCAGCTATGATATAAAATTATTAAAATAATTTCCATGCATTATAAATTATCATTGTTGTGCTTCACAAGCACAAGCATATGAGCTATATATGGTCTCAGATTAAAACACGATTAAATAATAATAATAAAAAAACAGCCTAATGAGCGCAATACAGAAATATAGGATTTGACAAATATGCGAGAGCAAGACTATAATGTGGCTCATTAGAAACTAATCGGTATAAATAATAAAGAAATTTAATAACACTTTAGGTTATTTTCCCTTTATCCTCAGTTTATTATTATTATTATTATTGTATTTTAAATGCGTAATTTAAAAGTATATATATACGTATTTTTGTGCCCTCCACAGTTTCATTAATTCGCAATAAATTATCAAGCAGCTACACGAGAAGAAACACGTGGTAATGTGATTCATATTAAATTAAATCCGCCAAATAACCTCCCCCATTAATCAGAGCAACCCAAAATACAGCCACGGCTTTACATTACAGTGTTCACAGCACATGTGAATATAACGAGCTTACAGCATCAATAACAATAAAAGCTCTGCATCTCCAAAAAAAAAAATATTACATAAGGAGAAGATGATGTATTTGCTTATTTTGTATTTACTTATGGAAACATGTATACTGTAATATGAAGTGTGACCAAAGCACGTGCAACAAAATATGACACAGATTATAAATATAAATACACACACGCAAGAGAAAGGAAAAGTTCTTACCTGTTTTGTCATGGAATCGATTAACCGAACATAAAGATCCTGTTCTGTTCTGACGCCTGTGGGAAATTATTTTTGTTTTTCAATGTGGAAAATGTCTGGTAAAAAAAAAAAAAAACTATACAAAGTTTCCTCGGAAAAAAAAAGAAGCTGAAAGTATTCTTGAAATTCACTAATAGAAAAAAAAACATCATCGAAGGTTTGCCATCTACTAGAATTACATTTGTGGAATAAACTGAACTACATTTTTAGGAAACTAATACGGCTCCATTGAGAGAATAAAACACTTGTAAATCTATCCTTGCTGAATAGAGAAATTTACACTTACCGTTGCTGTACAATAGTTGTATTTTGTAATGTATCCCATTGTTAGTTTTTTCACTGTTAGGTTCCTGAAAATAAGCATTTGTTTGGGGTCAGATTGGCATTATTGGGTTGTTGAGAATTTTATTTTAGTGTGTTTATGAAATGCATGCATTTTTTTTTTTGTCTGTATGCATGTTCCCTCAGCATCTTTACGCTTTTAAAACCCAGCAACTCTATTTAAGGTTGTATTTAGTAGATTAATTCCTGGCAATAATGTGTATAATGCATATCTATTTTTGTTTTTTTCTGTGAAATCCGTCAAAGCGGTTTAATGGCGCACGTGTTTCCAAAGATCTAGAAGTGTGGAAGTTTTAAGGTGAAAATTCAAAGCAGTATTCCAGAGTGCCGCTTACTTTATCCTTTTCCACAAAGTCCACAAAAACTGTCCTTTCGATCTCCACTGGCTGTCCCTGTCTGTCATAAAGCGCCAGGACGAAGTGGAAAAAATTGGATTTTCTGAGGTTGGATGGCGGTTGTTTCTCATAGTGCGCCCGTGCCAGACCAACTCCACTGCGGGGAAAAAACGAGACACCAGTGTGGGTTAAAACAACAGGCGTACACTTGAGATATAGATAGATGTAGATAGAATGAAAACATAGGAGAATTCTTGATTTGTCACTTAAACTGTAATATGATGTAATGAACAGGGGAAAGCGGCGAAGAGGTGCATGGGGAGATTGTAATTGATACATGGCATATTGGGGATTTAGGGGTCGATCTGAGAAATGCATTAAAAAATCGGATGATTTGGCAAACGTACCGCTCGCCGGCCGTGTTCGCATCCACCACCCCAGCCGTGTGCATCCACGATCGGACCGGATTCATGCCACTGCCCAGCGGTTCCTCTTTCATAGTGGTCCCCCCTCTTGGTATATTTTCCTGAATCCCAAACATTAAAAGAGTTCGCGTGCAACCGACTTCCAGCCAAAGAGATGAAATGAGAGTGTGAGCGATGGCGCGTCGTCTCTCCAAGAGCCCCTTCGGATAGCCGTGAGAGTTTGTTTGGGATTTGTCGAAAAGAGAAGAAGAAAAGAAAAAGCAGTCCCGACTCCTTCTTCAGTCCGCCCTGCGCTGGCACCACATGAACGATTCAGTGCTTAAAGATTCTCAAGCCTCTCCAAGCAGCTTGTTTGGATAGATGGAGATCCTCCCGTGGAAGAAACGAAACAAGTCGCGCAAATAGCAGGGATATTAGACTCGTTTTAATTCAGTTAAACATTTCTTGCAACTTTCTGTTGTTGTTTTTGTTGTTGATGATGATGATGATGATGGTGGTGATGCTCTTAGCTTGGTTGCATCCTATAACAACAGCATCAAAAAAAGGCTTCGGGACACTGCTGAATCCACCACTTCTGGCTCCAAAAGACAAATAAACGCGTAAATGATCACCGTGGAGGTGTTCCCGGACACGGGAGAGGATGATGAGGGGCCTTTAGCGCGTCTTTGCAGAATGGATGGAAGCATACAAAACTCAACCCTCTATCCCCCAGGACTGGAACCTTTCCCGGGAGCCAAAAACTCCAGACCCACGGGATCCAGGCTGTCAGAGGATGACGCGCACGTGGGCGTGGCTTTGCCCATACATGGAGAGGATTGACGCTTCCTGTCGCTGGGCTTTAAGCTTGGACCGTGAGTACATACTCGACTGGAGTCGCTGCTGCTGCTGCTGCTGCCGCTACTGCTTTTCCAGTGCGCATCGTGTCAAGTAATCATCAGAGAGGAACACAAATGAATGATAATTAAAGCCCGCGAATAAAGCGCGGCGCGCGGGAACTATATTTCCTGAAAAACTGCCATGCAAGTTTATAGAGTGCAAAAGAGCACTGACTGACCACCCATCCGCTGCAAGTGGTTTCCAGAATAAAAAAATAAAAAGTCTTACTGGGCCATCATCACTATGACAGCGGTGCCAAACGTCCCTGACGCGAGCCTCCAAATCGATTCACTTTGATTACTCTCAAATCAGGAAGGTTTACTGGCATTTTAAGACTACATGCTCCTTATAATAAACACCATGGGCATCTGCATAATGGCGTAATGCGCGTCTTAAATTATGGCAACGTGTACCGCTTGAATCTAAGACCCGGTTTGCGTGCGTGGAGCGAGCCGAGGCGATGTCAAACTCCTAGTCCTAGCGCGTACTCGCTTAATTTTGAAAATTATTGCAGAATTACATCTGAAAGTGTGAAGGGACTCGGGGGAAACATTGCGTCCACCCTCTCCTTCTATGCGCAAGAAGTAGGATGTCTTTTGAAATAAAAATATAATCATTTATCAAGACAATAAGGGTAATTTTTTTCCTTTCATTTCGTAAGGTGCTCGTGTCTCCGATATTGACAGACTCTGCATGCATGTTAATATTTGAATTAATGGGGGAAAATGGAAGTCCGATGTTGGTTATCTGGGGACCCTGTGCGCTGGAGGGAGGGATGGATGGATGGACTGAGAGAGGAGAAGAGAGATGTGTTTTACACTGCAATCTATTCTGCTAGTGTTGGGGGTTAATGACTATTGCCAAAGATAAGTGAATTATCAAAGCTGTTGCTCTTGCCTCGACTCAAAATCCATCACATTGCATCGTCGTCTAATTAAATACGTAAGTAATAAAATTGTATTTTACGACAATTTAAGATTGATATGCTTTTTGTCTTTAATTCGCAATGACTTTGATCCATGCATACACTGAATGCCTCTGTGAACTTTAATGTTAAATGGCACTCTAAATGATGATGATTATTATTTGTCTTAATCACGAAACAGTTGTTTTGTTTCACGTGAAATGTGCTTATAATTACTGTTATCAAAAATTCGACTAAAATTACGCGCGTGCTAATAAATAAACCTAAAGTTTCCGGAGACCTATTTGGCATGTGATTTTTTTGTTTTTATTTAAAGTGGTATTATTTGTATTTTATCCAAACCTTTTCTAATTTACCATGATAAATATTTCAGGTTTGCTAACCCTAGGCCTAATCTACAGTATCTCTAATGCAGATTACACGCCAAAGCGATTTCAATCTGATTACCAAATTAGGGTTTTAGTCTAAATCCCTTTAAATCTGATACTGTTGACTAGAGAAGTTCAACAATCCCATCGCGTAGGTAACGATCCCGTCCTAAAAAGGCGTTTTAACCCTTATTTGACAACAAATGCAGCTGCCCCTCTATTTTGGAAGATATTAGGCGAAAATGAATGCAAATCTGTGTTCAGAAGCCATCTGGCCGGAGACTGGAGAATCAGCTGCTCGCCTGAATCCATCTCGGCTCATTTCTGAGGCTCATCTGGAGCCCGGAGCCAAAGCGTGCAAAATGCGCTCTTTAATTCACCAACTTTCACTTTCGCTCCTCTACGTTTGAAAATAAAGTGCGGGACAAATGTATGACACAAAAAAATCCGGCGTGTTTATTGTGATAACCGCTTTAATTGCGGTTTTACATTTCCAAAGTGTCAGATGTGTCAGTTTTTGTTAGGCAAAAAATATTTAAAGGTGCAGCTAAAATATCTACTGCATGCAAAATATTCTGTAGAAAAAAGACAGTTTGCACCACTAAAAGGCTTATATGGTTTGCATTACATAATAATAATAATAATAATAATAATCATCATCAAATATTTAATATTTTTTATTGTTTAGTATTGTTGACGATAATAAAAATTTGCTAAGTTATAGGTTGTTCAGATCAGGGTTCATGGGTTCTTTTTAGAAAAACATCTTTCTAAAATGTTCTAGTATGACACGTAAAAGCTTTTTGCTTCTAACTGGAACGTTTATTTTATTTTATTATTATATATATTTTTTTTTTAAGTGAACGCTGCGGATTGAGCTCTATTCTGTCTGCCCATGTTAGATCTTATTAATCTTTGAGAGAAATTTGATGAAGAGCGCCTCCTCTCGACGCATCCGTGGAACAGCGTTTGAGATCACAGCACAATTAAACGGGTGGAGAGCACTAATCAATAGCCTAATATCGATCAAACATGAGCCAATCAGTTTCTGATTCTCTTTTAAAGAGTGCCAGAATTGATCACTTCACAATTGTCGTGCATTGGATGTGCTTGCAATCATCAAACAGTCCGAATTTAAAAAGACGATGAGAAAGACTTAAAAACAAAATAACAAAAGGCGAAGTCTGATATGGTTATCAAATGTTAAGGAACAAATTATAAACCTTATTTCGCAGATTAAAGTGTCCAACGTAAATTAATTAGCCAACACATAAATGCATGCATTTAACAAATAGCCTATAATAATAAAAAAAAACATTAAAACTCCAATAGAAGTATTGTATCGTGCACACGCCGTCGTGTCCAATATCTGCTGATGCTTTTATTTGCAGACAAAAAAAATAAAAAATCTCCATATCCAGCAGCATCTGTATCGTGCAGAAGCACAAAGTGCATGTGCTGCAGAATGCATGTGTTATTTCTGTGTGAAACAGATCGTGCTGAGGGCACCTTCACTGTGAAAACAGGTTTCGATTAGGTAATTTTAGATATTGTAATTGGCTTTAATTAAACATGTATCGCGCTAATTAACTCAGATTTTTGCTCAGCCGCTGGGACTCTCGTGTCGGCTTTGATACAGTCGAGCAGATGTCCCAATACAACTCCAGTGACAATTATAAACTTCAGCTCTATAGTTGGCTGGAAAGAACTTCAATCCTTATATGCTGCCTGACGACATTAAACAGGTCACCATTGCTGTACGTTCCATACACATTTATTTAGTTAAAATAGAAGTCCTATTTATTTTAAACTAGTTACGTATGTATATCTTTATTCGAGTTGTTAAAATGTAATCTTTTGAACGTAACATTTTAAATAGCCTACACACTGCACGAGACCAACTTTTATATATATATATATATATATTATTAGCTT